TAGTTCTTTATATCTTCATAAAACCGTTGGTCAGATGCTGGTACATAATTTGTAGCCAGTGCCATGACATGTTCGAACTTCTTCTTTTTTAATTTTCTTCTTTCAGTACACAATGTTTCGGTATCAGCGGGCATAGTTACAAAACTATCATTTTTTTTAAGTTCAAACTCTTCTAATAGTGGTAGGGATACTGAGACACTACATGAAATCCTTGGCAATTTTGACACGTCATATTGAAAGATTCTGTATTTCAAAATTGTAAATTTTGATTTTTTCGTACTTGGGTTCTTTTTGAAACTTGGCATAAAATGTTCCTTGAAATTTAAAAACATATTTTGGTGAGGTATTATCACCTCAAATTTTCTTCCAGATTCTTAAATGATTTTGGCGTACTCCCTTGGAAAATAAATTTTGTCATATCTTCGTTTTCTTTTCTCAATAGCCGCAAAACACCTATCGCATAGCAGAAAGCTGTGGCCTGGTTCAGAGAAGCGGTGGTATATTGATTTAAATTTTTTTTATTTCTACAAGTGTAAAAAGATACTGTGTCATGACCATATTTTTGTTTTGAGATGCACAGTTGTCCGAAAACATGTATAGCTCAGTAACTTCTGGATTAATAATATTTTTTAAAAAATAATTTAGTAGACTGATGACTTCATTTTGTCCTTTTCCAGCAATGGTTTCATCATATAGAAAAAAATAACTTTTGCCAGTACTTGCCACATGAATACAAAAGTTATAGACCCAGATTTTAATCTTATAGAATACTTCTCCGCTTGATGATACTGGTAATGGAAAATTATGTTGGTAATCAAATGTTATAACTTCCATGTGAGCAGTAGTTCTAGACAGTTCTGATTTAAGTTTAAGATCTTCGTAGAAAGTTTGTGCTTTCGCAACATGAAGCGATTTTTCAACCTGTAGAGTGTTTCTCTCATTTTCTGTTTCCGCGGACTCAATTTGTTTAATCAGTTTGTCACATTTTTGACACGTGTCAGATTTTGGACTGCTGAATGTGATATTAAAATTTTCTGAGAAATATTTTTACTAGTAATACCACTAGAGGTCAAATTATTTCCGGACATTTTTTCGAGCTCATGAATATTTTGAAAATTTCCCTCGTCTGCGACTCGGGAAATTTTCTAAAAATATTCATGAGCGAGAAAACATTTCCTGATATTAATTTGACCTCGCGTGGTATTCGGTAAGAAAATTCCACGCCGAATTATGGTTGAAAATTAAATATTTTTAAAATTTATTTTTCGTTTCTCAACAATGCAAATTATTTTCTCCAAGTCACCAGTGAAACATAAAAGGTGTTGTCGCCTTGATTGTTGAGTTGTCATGGTAACTAAGTGAGACCCTAACCTCGAATATAATTTCAGTTTTGAAGTTGTCAAGCGGCCCGACGTAAAAAAATGTTTCACTTCGGTCAAGAAAGCAAAGAAAATATTCGTCAGGAGATTGAGCAGTTGACACCCGCGAATACCAGAAAATCGAAGTCAAGCGTATGGAGGCAGTTTACAAACTTTTGCGCAGAAAAATCATATAATTTCGATAGAGCGGATATACCTGTGGAAGAACTGGCGCTTATTCTTGAAGATTATGGGTTCAACATGCGAAAAAAGAATTCTGAAGATTACAAGGAGAGTGTCATCAAAGTTTTATGGAATTCCACAGCTAAGCAGTTGCAGGAATATTTTTTTAAAAAATATAATCGCAAATTCAATCCATTCTCTGACATAGAATTTTTGAACGCAAGAGCTGCAAAAAATGCTAAGCGCCGGAAGCTACAAATGGATCCAAGCAAGAGAAAGGAAAGTTCATCTGCACTATCAACAGACGAGCTCAGAAAAATCATTGAGATTTGGGACGAAAACACTCCGGAAGGACTGCAGAAAAAGTTTTTTACGTTGTTGCTCATGAATTGGCCTGGAGAGGAAATGAAGGAGCGGCAGCACAACTAGAATATTTTGTGGAGGAAATTGACAATAGAGGAGAACCAACAGGCCGCATTGAGTATAACCCGGTTTTCTCCAAGACCACCCAAGGCGGTTCAAAGAAATTAGCTGACAGTAAGTGGTTAGTACCGAATACACTCAACGAAGAAATATGCCCAGTGAGACTGTTCAAAAAACTAACAAGCAAGCGAGGTCCTATCAAAACGAAGCGTCTATTTTTGACGGCGAATCCAAACTGGGAGAATCCTAGTTCCAAAGGCTGGTACAAAAACAGTCCAGTTGGACAGAATACAATACCTTCCTGGTTCAAATCCGCTGCATCATTGATTGGAATTGATGTTAAAAAGATCAAAATAACTAATCATTCTGCAAGGGCTACTGCTGTTTCAACTTTAGCCAAAACTGGAATTGGAGAACAGCAATTGATTAAAATAACCGGTCATGGTAGCAGTCACTCAATAAAACCATATCTGCAAATACATTCGGCACATCATCAGGAAATAATTGATGCAATGAGGTCTGCTTCAACTTCGGCAAAGACGATTCAAGAATCTCTGAATCAAGAACCAGCAACTACTTCCAAGCAACCTTGCATAGTTTATAATAATTGCGTTTTCCACATAAATAATAATTACAATAGTCCAAATAATATAAATAATTAGATTTAAGTGTTATCAATTGTAACCGTATTCATATTATAAAATAAAAAACTAAAATTCTATTTTGTTATATTATTTTTCAACTCCTGGAAACCCAGCTAGGCAAATACAAATTTCGATAACATCCTCTAGGTCTATGGTTAAAAACCTGCGATAATTCTGAAATTTTTACTCATTGTAGTTGCATGAAAATGGCAAGCTAAAGCGTAACATAATATATTTTTCTATTTTATATCAATTTTGGATTACTACAAGTGTTAGGAAGTTATAATTTTATCAAATTTAATTTAATGTGCTTTGCAATTTCGGTAATGGTTTCTCAGCCTGCCCTTTAATCAAGGTATATTGTTTTCTACTCATTGTAGTTACACAGTACTGCAGTTTTATGATGAAATATATTACATTCTCTGATTTTTTATTTACTTCGGGCTACTACAAGTGGTAGAAAACGAAAAAAATATTATTTTTGTATAGATACATACGTACAGGAACAGTTTTTAGGTACATAATAATATTCAGTTTGTCTTTACACCAATGGACCCTATAAACTGTTGATTTCTACCGATTGTAGTACCTCAAAAGTGCCATTTAGGAACGAAAAATGTAATATTCTTTTATTTTATAGTTACATCAGCTTACTACAAGTGGTAGAAAATTATAATTTTAGAGGTTTTTCGGAAAGCTGCATGAAGATTCACAACGCGTCATAGCTTTGGCTGCAATTATTTAGGCCTTCAAATTGCTTATTTCTACTCATTGTAGTTGCATGGGAATACCATTTGAAAATAAAAAATAGTATATTCTTTAATTTTACGTAAGTTTTGAATAACTACAAGTGGTAGAAAATTGTTTTTCTGCGTTTTTATTAACATGCGTTATGAGCGCTTTAAAATGGTATGAAATTCATAACCAGCGTCAGCAAGCATCAATCGTAGGAGGCTGTGATCATTGTATTTTGACAGTTCAAAACATTAAATAACTCGCGTTTTGTTGCGATAAAGAATATTGCACAGCAACTAAAACCAACAAAATTACCTATTTGTTTAAAAATGAATCGATTTGAAAATCATACGCTATGCAAAATATGCGTGAAATTGTCTGATGTAATGATCAATCATTGCACCATGACTTACTTACTCGGATTAATAGAGGATTGTGGCTCCAACTTGAAAAACGAAAATTTGTTCCGAATTGTCCACGAATATTTGCACCTAAACTACGCAAAATTCAAAGTGCTGAATGGGAAAAAGGTGAATAAATTAGTGTCTAAATATTATATATATTTTATTAGACATAGACACATAATTCAAAGCATCCAAAGTCCTGCATTTTTGCATTTTCGCCATTAAGAAGAAAAGAAGTGGCCGAAGAATATAGAAAACACCTTAGCATTGTAACTAAAATGTATCAAAACTAAACCTATTATGTAAACAAATAAAAACCAGTCTGTCAAAAATGGTCTTTTATTGTAAACGTCAACAAATTTCCAGTATAATTCGCTGTTGGGTACACCACGAGAAAAAAATTTCCACTAAAATACCTCCGTTGCCATGGTGATCTGTCAAAAACACGTATTTTGATTGGTTCAAAATACAGGTGTGGAATTTTCTAAAAAATTCATATTGCACCACAGGTTTAAAATTTTCATTCTTTCTATTCTCTTGAAATATTCTATATTGAATAGGTTCGTGTTTTTGTAGATACAACTCGTGTAATTTGGCAGTATTCAGTAATGGTGATAGGTAGTATTTGCTCAAGTTATCATTTCTACTATAATGGGATTTATACTTAGGAAAGCTCATTATATGATCGCGTATCTTTGCAAGTGTATCCGGATTAATTTGGTTTGGTCGATTATTATGTCGTCCTCTTAGATCTGATGGAGGTGTAGCATTAACTTTTAAGTGATTTATTAATCTATTTATCCTTCCTTTTTTGATACCATGTATCGCAAGCACTGCATTTTTGCAAATCTGAAAATGTGTGACACCTTCATTAACCTAAAATAACGAAAAAATAAGAGGATGCTGAACATGATCAAAAGAAACACTTACTGAAAATTCACAAGTAATACTTTTTGGTTTATATTCTGTATCTGTGCGTTGTCTTTTACGTGCGACGTTCTTCAAGGCAATGTTACGACATAAATAAGAATCTTGAAGATCTTTGCTTGGTAGCTTATTAGAGGCATCAAAAAGGTTTTGTCTAACTACAAGGGGCACTTTGTCAAAACATTTTAGTCTACAGTTACATGTATTTCCCATTACTCTCTGTGGTACAACAACTTTAGAAGTACTCACATATTCTTTGCCTGCTAAGCGACGTTCCTTTTGTATATTTCGCTTCCATTCTTTCTCTTTTCTCAGCCGTTTTTTACCCCTGCTTTTTTCGAGGTTAAGTTCGATTACATCACTGTTTTCTGAGCTTGATCCACTTAATTGGGCACTTAACTCGTTGGGATTAAAGTCACGATCAACATCGGAATCATCTTCACCATAAGGGTAATCTTCAGACCCGGAACTCATTATTACTACAATTCTATTTTATTATTTAATTAAGTTTTCCCACGACAATATCAACACGCGTACTGTTGACAAGTTGTGTGAATCACACATGAATACAATGCAAGAAAGAGACATGTCCATATTATTTCCGGTTCTTGCAAAGGATTGGATGATAGACAACTTACAATACACTACTGTAATGTTGCTAGTATAGATAGAAGTCTGGTTCTTGAATTGGACGATGTAAAATATATCAGAGTACAGGTCCATTTTAAAAACTACTTTTGGTGAAAATGTGGACATGTCCACTTCTTGCATTGGCCCCTTCAATTGAACATTTAATACTCAAACTCATTTTTCTTAATACTTAAATGATAATTAAAATAGTAAAAATAAATTACCCCGTTTTCAACCCTCATAATAACATATCTTTTTGGTTTAGAGCGTAGCGTTGGTCTTTCAACTTAAAAGTCATGAGTCCAATCCTTACCGGTTAATTTTTTTTATTTTAAATTGATTTTTTTATTTGTAAAATTAAAACTTTTAAAACAGTTGATGAGCCATCAATTTGCGATTAAGAGTATTCTAACTGATCTTGGAAGTTATTTTTTAGATGTACTTACTAACAAATTTTTTTTATGCTAATCATAAAATTATTCTTCAAGTAAGCAGGCAACACAATGTACACATAACATACTTTTCGTTTGTTAGTCAAGTTAGCCGTACAATTTGTATAAATGGAACGATATTTTCAGAAGTGGTGTAACTCAGTGCTATACTTTCGATGCAATAGAAAAGACCTTATGTAGAGGCAGCACCTTCCAGAGTTTCAAATCTAACGTGGGAATTTTAAATCATATTATGGTTTTATTAGTTTATTTCTAAATACGCTCAATTCAGTAACAATTATTTCAAAAATTCTAGCCCTGGACCTGATAATATACCCATCATATTCCTACAACATCTGCCAAAAAAGGCAAAAAAAATTCTACTAGAAATATTTAACAAAATATGGAAAGACCATGTATTCCCAAACAATTGGAGAGAAGCAACAGTGATACCCATTCTGAAATCTGGAAAAAACAAACTTTCGGCAGACTCTTATAGACCAATTTAACTTACGTGCACAATGTGCAAAACCCTTGAAAAAATTGTAAACTATCGATTGTTATGGGAATTAGAACGCAGAAATTTAATTACTCCAGAACAAAGTGGATTTAGGAAACAGAGAAGTACCACTGATAATCTATTAGACTTTATTAACCAACAAAAATGCCTGGCAATATTTTTTGATATCAATAAAGCTTTTGATATGGCCTGCAGAGCCAACATACTAAATATATAACAAAACTGGAACATAAACGGCAACATACTGGCTTTCATAAAAAAAATTATAAACAAGAGATATTTTTATGTAAAAACAAATGGTGAACTTTCGGAGAGAAAAATACAAGAGAATGGAATACCTCAGGGTTCTGTTATTAGTCCAACACTATGTGTTATTGCAATTAATGGTATTGCAGAAAATATTCAAAAGCCAGTCAAAATAAAACGACTTAGTAATGTTTATTAAAAGCAAAAGCACCACAACGATGAAGCCAACCAATATTACAAAAACAATTAAATGATATAGAACAAGTATTAGAAATTAAAAATTTAAAAAAACCGACTTTAAAAACGTGCAGATGCCATATGGAACCACCCCTGAGGTACCCTCTTACTAACAAAAAAAAAGAATCATATAAATCGGACAAGGTGGTAAAGCATTATCGCTAAACATACATAAAAAATAAACAGTTTGAGGATTTTCTCATTGACCCAATTATTATATTTTAACCAAATTTATATGGGACTACCCCTGAAGTACTCCCTTTCTAACAAAAAAAGAATCATTGAAATCGGACACCGTGTTAAAGAATTATCGCTGAACATACATAAAAAAAATTAAAAAAATATCGCGACGAATTGAGAACGTCCTCCTTTTTGAAGTCAGTTAAAAATGGTTTGATAGAACAGGATTTCAGTTCTCAATTTTAAAGACAAAATGCATGATATTTTCTAAAAATAACAATCATGAACTACCAGAACTTAGGCTCTACGGAAAAAAAACTGGAATTTGTAAAGACTAAAAAATTTCTAGGTATGATTTTCAATACCAAACTAAACTGGAATGATTATGTTAAAAATCTCATAGTCGTTTGTCAAAAAGGTATTAATTTACTTGAACTATTATCCAGCAGAAATTGGGGATCAGACCAGGAAACCCTTCTACTTATTTACAGAAGTCTCATTCGATCTAAAATTGACTTCGGCTTCATTGTCTACACATCTACAAAAAAATATATTCTCAAATCTCTTGACGTCGTTCATAACTCTGCATTGCGAATTATATCAGGGGCTTATCGCACATCACCGTCTGAAAGCTTACACGTATAGCTGGGGGCACCATTGCTTAATAGAAGAAGAGAATATTTGACGTTGACTTATGCAAGTTCGTTGATAAATAAGAAAGAACTTCCTACTTATGAAAACACCCACTTAGAAAGATATAAACAGTTGTACCTGCTAAAAAAAACTGCCACCCTCCTTTTTATGAAAGAGTTAGAAAACAACTAGAAATTCTGCAACTTGATTTTCCCTCTATATCCACCTGTAATATAAAAAACCCCAACATGGCTAATACATGCCCCATTTATCGACACTTCTCTTTTATCCTTAAATAAAACAGATTCTCCAGCTACTTTAATAAAACATTCCTTCATATCCAAATTAGATCAATATCCTGATCACTACAAGGTTTATACGGATGCATATGAAACATCAGACGGCGTTGTAGCCGCAGTTGTAACCCAACATTCCAAATTAAAATACAAACTCCCCGCCTTAACTAGTATTTATACACAGACAATATATTTCAGAAAAGCTTTAATAGTAAGTTCTCTCAAAACAATTGAAAAAGTATATTCCGACCATAAAACTTGCATGCCTAATAAACGAAAAGTTGGTTCGATTAAAAGAAGACAGTATTGAGGTGGTGTTTTTATGGACCCCTTCACACGTTGGAATCCAGGGCAATGAAGAAGCTGACAGATGTGCCAAAGAAGCAATAAGTAGTGAAAGTGCGGAAATAGTGATTGAAACTTTACATGAAGATGTGAAAATGTGGGTAAAAACCAAAGTTCTAAGTGCGTGGCAAAATGAATGGCAAACATCAACATCTAAGTTACGGGAAGTTAAAAAAACAGGGAAACATTGGCCTATTAAAATATACCTGCGTTCAACACAAGTACTATAATCGCGACTAAGAATAGGCCATACGAAAATTATACACGAGTACCTATTAAAAATTGAAAATAAACCATACTGTGATACCTGCAACACTGTTGTTACAATAAAGCATCTGCTATTGGAATGTGTAAAATATAACAATAAAAGACAACAAAACAATCTACCAAACTCATTGTGCTCTCTTCTAGGCGAAAACTGTGATACAAAATCTATTGTCAAATATTTAAACGACATTCAAATCCTCAATTATTTGTAAACCATGTAAACCCACTCCACCGCAAATGACCTACTTGATTGATGCGGTAGTCTACTAATAAAAAAAAAATCTTTTTTTTTTGTTAAACTCTTATAAGTTTACTATTCTAATTATATTCAACAAGTTTTATAAAAAATACGTATGAGTAAATGATCATAGTACATTAAAATATTTTTTCTTCTCTGCCAAAACTGTAAATTCAAAAATTTCAAAAAAATTGCACTTTTATTTTAGCAAAGTAAATCATTTTACAAAATATAGTTGAAATCGCTCGAGCAGTTTTTTAGTTTTTTATGTGGAAAAAAACAGTTTTTCTTGTTTTTCTTAAAAACCACTAAAGAGATTTTAATTAAAATTTGGGAAGATACTAGCCAATATCTCATATATACCCATGAACTTTTTTAAATTTTTGAATTTGTAGTTAATTTTACCTTAAGTAACCGCTCGAAAACGTGGATTTTAAATCTGCCAGCCAGCAATATTAGTGAATAAATAACGGAAAATATATTGAACGCGATCTGCCAGATGATGATTGGAACAAACAAAACAAAAGAGTTACAAGAAAATTATAAATAGATGTTGAATATTTTTCTTTTAAACAGTATGGGTTAATTTTTTATGGGTGAATAAGTCGATGAATAATCCCAACTATGAGAGTTTTTGTTTATTAAGTTTTTTTTTAAAGCTTTATTGTGCAATTTAATCATTAGTTTATGGCTTATGTCTATCTGGACGTCTCACAGTGACTGAAATTTCAAAATTCTTGCCCAAAGTTATAAAATCGTTTCCTGTGATTTTTTTAATTTTTAAACGGGTATAAAATGAAAATTGAATAGGTACATTAATATATTTTGTTGGTTTAAGGCAGTGGTCGCCAACCTGTCGATCGCGAGCTACCGGTAGCTCGCGGAGGTAATTCTGGTAGCTCTCACAACGATTTTAATTTAAAAAATAAAAACTGCAAAAATCAGAGAAGCTTCCGAAAATTCCACAAAAAATCTAATTGTCATAATATTAAACATAAACAGCGGCAACGTTGCGATGAGCGATCTGCCGCTGACGCCATCAAGCTAGAATCGGCTAGAACCGACCAGCCGGACCAGCGCGTTGTGTTCGAGAACGATCAGGATTGCTTTGAACGGGATAAATACGCACGGCGCGGCGACATTGCGCTTAGTTTAAAACTGAACGTGTAACCAACGTCCAGCGGTTGGGTTAGTAGAGAACAACAAAAAATAATATTATGGCAAGCAGTTGTAAGAAGGTAAAGACATACCACTTTCATTCGGAATGAGAAAAAACAATACTTTTTTACAGAAGTTAAATATAAAAATGTGTGTTTGTTATGTAATATTGAGAGACATAATAAAACTGTACATTCCAATTTTGAAAAATCATTCCCATTACATTCTGCCGCCAGAAAGGAGAAACTGAAACAGTTAAAAAAGCAGTTAATTGGACAACAATCAATATTTTT